TATATATTAGTATTATTTAAATTGACTAGGAAAGTTTCTATGGAAAGAATCAAGAAAGTGATAAGCATAAGACACTTGTTTATTTTATTACATTCAGATTTCTAGATGCTTATTAAAAGAGAGGGAAAGTAGGGAAAGGTGACATCTTTAAAAATATGCAATAAATTTTAGGGTGTGTTTGAGAATATTTCAGGTTTAGACCTTGCCAACCTGTTACAAGACAGCTGTGCATTTGGATCATAGCCAAAAAGTAAGACAAATGTCGCTCATATTCTTCTGTTGTTCCTTTTTGTATTTAAAGTTCGTATCCAAAAATTCGTTTTGTTTTTTTTTTTCGATACCGCCGAGTGCAGAAATTTAAAAAAGTAAAGAGGGAGAACAACAGAAAATGGTTTACTTATGCCACTTTACCATCGAAATTACCAGTTTAAAACCACACGCTCTGATTCACCGCACTTATTAGTGGTAGTTTGCGGCAATAAACGAATTTTTAAAAAATAAAAACAAAAAACAAATCCTCATAAAAAAATTTACCAATTACGATTTAATCTGAAAATTATCTAAAAAATTTAGAAATAAAATAATTGGGAAAATAAAGGAGAACAGCAGGAAATGCTCCATTTTAAATAGCGTAATTACTCGAATAATAAATTTAATACGAGAAAAAAAATTACGGAAACGAATTCGATCCGAATAATATTAATAATTAAGTTAATTAATTTCGTTTTTTTTTCCTTCTTACAGAACCGATCGAACATCTGAACAAATAAATACGAAATCAGCTTAGATGATGCAATACGGAACTTCAGGAGGAAGATCATTCGGATAAACTTATCCACAGTCGCATTTGAACGAGATTAACGTAGAGGAATGTGGACGAGTGATTCTCTTTTAGGGATTAAAACATTCGACCCGTTGACACCAATAAAGGTTAAGTGCTCTTTTTTTTCTCTTTCTTGCACCGCTAATGACACGAATTGAGGTGATGAAATGAAATAAAACACTCCACTAAACGAATCTACTACGGAGGATGTCCGGGCCTAACAGACTTTTCTAGTTTTTCCGTTTGTTTACAATGGTTGCTTATTTGCCGTTTTGTAGAAAGTAAATGCTAACAGGGTCGCACGCAATTTCCTCTTTCGTTTACCCGAAATAATCGACAATTATATAAAAAAAAATTATGAAAATACTTAGTTTTTCTCGCTCGTTAATTTAAAAGGACAAAGACGCGAAGTAATTAGGAAAAAATAAATTAACGTCAATCAGTTTTCGATAATGAATTTTTCCATGTAAATTATCTGACTTTATTTCCGTATAAAAACATCGTAATCGAGATCGTCACACTTCTCGATCACGAGAATAACCCGTTGACCTTCTTATCGACTCGCGTCGTGGCGAAAGCAAAATTCAAAACTATCGAATTACGCGTTTTCGCTTACGATCCACGATTCATTAGCGATATTTTTCCGCAACTTAATGGCATAGAGCGAAGATATTCCCTGGTAAATTTTCGGACGGTGGCAAAGTTTAAACAATAGGGAAAGTTTGACTTTACGTTAATGGCGAGATCCCGGAAGTAAAGCCATAGACGTAGGAAAATTAATACGGACGGTGCCGAATTTCAAGGAAAACGCATTAGGCAGCGGTCCAAAGAAATGTTTTAACTTTCGCGTCACCGCCTAATCGCGAACGAAGGTTAATGGCTATCGCGGCTGATACCGGAACGCTTCGTTGGAGATTATATCCCGCTCTTAAAGCGTAGCCGACGCTTTATGCGGGATGGAGGGGGAAAAAATGCCTCGCTCACCTTTCAAACTCCAACGAGAAAATGATGGCATTCGAACTCGTCGCACCGACAAAAGTGGCGCTAGTGCGACGCTCACGTCGCCACCTTGAACTCTTGAGCCGTGATTATTGGTAAGCCGAACGGCTAATGTAAAGTGTTTACGCGATCTCTCCTTTACTGAACGTCAAGGACGTGACGAAACTCGGCATCTTCCTCCTCACAGAAGATCCGTACTGATCGATTCCAAAAAGGATAAATTCATTGAATCTTTCAATTCCATTTTCATTAATGAAATATCCTCTCGTCCCGACGTCGCTAAAAATGATTCCTTTCGACGCCCGTTCGCCTTTAAAATATTCGGAAATTAATGCGAAATAATGGAGTTTCTTTCTTTTTTTTTTAACTCTGTAATTTATTCCGAGAAACATTTACGTGCTTCTATTGTTTTGTCCACTTTAAACAATTAACGGGCGAGGAAGATATACATTAAGACGATCAAAGGTCGTTCGCGTGCGCTGGCGTTATTTTAAGGGAGTGTTTCCCAAACATTTTTAGCTGTCGACCCCCTTTTATAGTGCCGAAAAAAACGTGACACCAACTAGGAATGGAGCTCGACAACTACTTATTATAAATTTACCGTAAAAATCTGCAAATTTATATGATTTTAGTAGAAGAATTTTCAATTTAAAAATAAGAAATGTGAAGTTTTCTAGAAATAGATCAATTTTCCGTGAAAAAGGATACAGTTCAGTCAACGCTCGTTCTGCGTGTCGCCTTATCTCCCAGATCCAAATGTACGAATGAGAAACTAACGATTTACGAACTGTTATAGAAAAATTTGGAAAAATTTCCCACAGTTTTTTTAATTAGATTGGCGTAACGCTTGGCGGAAACGATTTGTTAAAAGAAATTTTAGTTTAATGAGAAAATTCGACATCCGTAAAAAATGTCTATTTTTAAATATTTTCATTCAAATTTCGAAATTGTTTGCTTAAAAATTTTTGAACATTTTCAGCGAGAGTAGATCGTATTTGTCCTTCCATTAACACTTACTGGAATTTTATGTAACCCGATGCGACTTTTATTTAAAAGTCAGCCCAAACGTCGAAAGTAATTCGAGAAGTGCATTGGCGCCTGTACTAACGTTTCGGACACGATGTGACGTAACGCGACATAACCCGAAGCGTGCGTTACGACTATTATTCGTATCGTGAGGTATAATTATTATATACTACGAGAGAAACGGCACTTCCTGTGGCGTAAGTCGAGGAGCTATTTTTTAAAGTAGCGTGTCGAATGTGGATATAAAAAAATGATTGGGAGGGCAGCGTGACCTTCAAACCACTATATAAATTTTTTTTTCGGTCGAAAATTGCGCTGAAAATTCCCGGGACGATTTAAATGCCCTTTTTAATACATAAATTTTGCATTTTTCCCCGATACTTCCTAGAAAAATGTTTGCGTGACGCAATGCTTACGTCTCGGGTCGATTAACATTTAATATCTTTACTCACTACGCTATCCTCTTTCCAATTATCATACGATTAATATACGAAAGAGCGACTTTATATTTTAAACGATAATTTTTTAAATGATTTAGAGATGGAAAATTTACAGAGAAGTATATGTGCATATCCTGAATAAACATCAGATAACGTGATTGAGCTTAGTCTCTTTCTTATAGGTGTATTTTACTAGACAATGCATTCTATTGTATTATACTCAAGTCTTAAACGTCAATAAGTAAAGAATTCGAAATTTAAAAGTATTATAAAAGCTCCACATTGCATTCAAAATTTCCAAATTTGCAGAGTCTCAGAAAAAAATTTCTTCCAGTGATTTTTGAATATGTGAGTTTGGAAGAAACTCATTTGTTGTGTACTTCATACCATTCATTGTAGGCTTGAAAGAATTAAGCTTTAATTACTTTTTCTACATGTTATATGCGAGTGATGAATGATACATTTTTGAAAGCGGATCAGTCTCGTGTTCAGATGTCTGAAACTTTAAATGTTCCTGTCTGTAGTCTCGAGATTCTAGATGAATTTCAATAAACCGGAGATGCAAGTCGGAATCCAATATTATGGAGTCATTCAAGAGTCTTAACTATTCGTAATGACTTATCTGGCGTCATCCGAATTTTGTGTTAAGGAGATTTCGGAGCAGTTTTACGTCGAGCTTTCAATGGTAAGAACAATGATTTTGAGAAACAATATACTGTACAAGAGAACTAGAATGTGAATACTCCAATGATTGCTATTCCTATGAAATCTACATATAGTTTGAACTGGAATCGTAACATGAAACAATGTTAAATAAATTGTTTAACAATATTTTTCGCCGAGCTATTACCTAGAGAGAGAGAGAAGAGAGGATTCGTTACCCCTAAGTCATCATTTTCACTCATGTTCAGCAGAAAAAAAAGGATACTGAAAGACAATATGCGAGTACTGATTTATTATAAAGATTTATACCTTCCTATGTAATAAAATGAGTTAAATGATTATAAAAACGTTCACATTTTCGATATAGGCTTACATATATCTTTATTTTTGAATGATAAAGAGATGTTTCTCCGACTTCACGCTTTTATATTCACGAATAAAAATTTACATAAGATTTTCTTCACGAGAATATTCAGTGAATGATTTCCGGACCAGACTTGTCTAGAAAATACCAGAAAGGTGAATTTACAATAAGGCATTGTTATCTTTCAAGAAATTTTCAGAACTCTGGACTTCTCAAGAAAGAGGTTTATTGTCTGCTTATTTAACTACCAAATTCATAATAGTATGCATAATAGATGTGTCTATTATAAGCTATCAGGAAGTGATCAAAACTATTGCTTTTTTCCTCAAAGTATGATCCTCTACGTTGAATTTTAAAAAAAATCCATTTAAATAATTCGTCTAAATAAAGTCCATATGCACATTTTGAATATTGTGTTAATAAATTATCTCATCGCCAGATTTTACGACTTATAAATCTATTCAAGTATGTAAACTGTGCTTCGACTGTGGATATTAACGTACTATAAAATTTAGGATATAAAGTAATCGGACACCTCTAGCCAGATGTATTGATCTTGTACCAGTAGACACGAGTTTAAACTATCCAGATCCGGATACGTCAAAGTAACGTCATTTAGACCATTCGGAATTCTCGAAAAAACGTAAACAACATACGGAAAAAAATATGGCATCGGTTCAAGGACAGAAAACGAAGACATTAAGTTGTCAAACACACACACCATGCTAAATTATGTAATCGAAGCGGAACCTACGGAAACAATAATTTATATACGATCATGGATCACCTCTTTATAATGAGATTTTTTTGGAATTTAAAGTTTGCCAGATTTTCAAACCGGTACAGTACAGCGAGATCGGCGATAGCGATAACGCGACGTATCTTTCGTTATCGCTAGCGATAATTGACGCAATATGTACGGAAAAATATTACGCAAATGTTTTTACGTAAGTTAGAACTGGATGTAGAGACAAATTTTTAACCGAAACGTAATTGGACCGTGTAGACTCATTTGACTACATTTTATACGACGGAGAGCAATTAAAATATTGCGTAGATTATAGTTTTAACAAAAATAAATCTATATTACAATTTTTAAAACAGTTATGTTTCGAATTATATACATTTTTATATGCTCGTTTTAGTATATTTAAATAATTTTACGGTTGTTACCGTACGTAACAATAAAAGTGCATCCGTATATACTACAGAGCGTCACGAATTAGTGTCATCACTTATGTACTTTTAATATTCATTAAAGGGCGTAATGGCATTTTAAATCTGTTTTGTCCGACGTTAAAAACGCGACTTTTTAATCTTTTCGCGTGATTTTTCTTCTTTTAATGATTCGATTTATGCTCAGATTCTTCCGTAATTACAAAAGAATAAAGTCGAGTAAATCACAAAAGAACAAAATTCCGAAGAAAACCTACGAAGCGTGAATTTTTATAACCTTATACCCAGTGGCGTAACTTATGGAAAATTCCTATCTTAGGACATGCTCCAGTCTAGTATTTCCTAAACACTTCTCCACAAAATTTTTCTCATGCGCACGATTTCCGTTCACTGTTCGAAAATTTATTTCGAGCACATGCAACATCCTGCCTTACTTTTCTACAGTCGTAATTCTTGCCCGCGATAAAACAAAAACAAATCGAGTAATTGATGCCTACACTTAGGAAATACCTCTCTGATGATTTGGGTATATAAAATATAAAATTCAAAGGATTAAAACTAGAGAATATGTGGTAATTACCACATATTCTCTAGTTTTAATCCTTTGAATCAGTGGAATTTTCACGAAAAATTAAGGTTTTGTATAAAGTACGGTGTAAAATACATTTGAAAAATTCAAGTTATCGAACATTATTTCTTAGTTTTTAAACCTCTGAAATACGGAAAGGCCATCCAGAACTATGACCTTTTTCTATCGTATTTTGCTCTAGGCCCTAATGTTTTATCTGTCACAAGGCTTTACAATTATAAATTTAGATTAATGATGCTAAAAATAACTTAGGCTATATTAATAATTTGAATGATAAATAATTCTCGACTCCGCTGTAAAGTTTTAAGTAAAAAACGATAAATATATAAAATCTTATTTATCTTTGTAATATTATAGAAGTTGGCCCCAGGCGTAGAAAAATCTTCCAATAATTTTTAAAATATAGGATGCATATCATCGAAACCATTACAAAATGCAGTTGAATCATAGCTTTATTTTATTTTACTATTGAGAACAAGTGTTTCGCTCGTTATCGCTAGAATATTTTATGATTAAGTATTTCAACCTTGCATAACTCACTCGGTTACGGCATACGTTCTTTTTTATTATGAGGATAATTTCTATGAGCTGACGTTATCGTCACATACAATTTTCCGTGCCAAAACTTTCTGCTAATTAGACGATTATATTTGAGTGGAGTAAATGACGTCGTAAAACGTTTTATCAAAAGTAGGGTCGACAGGAGATGCGGAAGAATGGAACGGACGGGAAGCGATCCCGGATCCCCCCGCCATGCGACCCATCGATATTATGAATATTAACACCTATCGAACTTCGATCGGTCAAACGTAACGAACAGTTTAATAATCACTTTTAAAATACCCGTTCCAAAACTTCGGAATTTCTGTTATTTAATAAACTGCAACGAGATTTCGACACGGTTTCCTTCGAAATTTTCCTACTTGTAGGCATTGTGATAAGAAATTCGATACGGTTTTGTGGCCTTATACCCCTTTAAACACGCGCAAAAATTAATTTCCATAATCAAGTTAGACGAGAAATACCGTGAAACTAGTTAGATAATCGAATGAGTTAATGGAAAAACGATATTAGATTACCGAAATGTAAAGAATTAAACTTATTTGGATCGAGTACGAAAAGTATATTTAAAAAACGCAAAAATTCCTTGGTTGTTTTTTGTTTTAGAATATCACTTCTCAACCAGAAATTAAAAATCATTTTCGTGGTTATATTAGTATATATACTTGTGTGCCAAGTAAAAAAAATCTGTTATAAATGTTGGAAAATAGTTTCTAGAATTTTTATTTTGCAATCCAAGGTCAAAAATGGAAGGTCATTTAAGGTCAAATTTCTTTTATAATACGAATATTTATTTATAACACGATTTAAAAATTAAAAGTTAAAAACCAATTTTACGGTAGTAAATTAAGTTTTAAGCTAAAAGTTATAAATCTATCTGCCAGATTATGTAGAATTAGATCAAGTAAGTTACTCACGTTCGTCAAATTCCAAACATAAAACGCGTGCCGGTTTGAAATTCGTTCGAATTTACGTTTTTTGATTACATTTTTCGTAATCAGAAAAAAAAACCGCTTTGTTTTCGTTTTTATCGCCAAGGCAATATCAAATG